GGTTGCCGAGTTCACGAAGTGAATTGGCTTGTTTTACGACGTCGTTGCCAAGCGACGACAACCCAATCTCGATGGCAAACACCGGGGGGGGCGCGGGGGGGGGCGGCTTATTTTACAACGTCGTTGCCAAGCGACGAAAACTCAACCCCGATGGCAAACACCGGGGGGGGCGCGGGGGGGGGCGGCTTATTTTACAACGTCGTTGCCAAGCGACGAAAACTCAACCCCGATGGCAAACACCGGGGGGGGCACCGGGGGGCGTAGAAAGAAACAAAGCTCGGGAACTTAGCCTTCGCTGACGCTATTGATATAGATGGGATCGTTGTGTCATATGAAGAAGAATAGTAGAAAAAAATACACCACCCAGTGCCATCTCTCCGCCTTCAATGTGTGGTATATCTTTATTACTGTTTGACTTCGCGGTGTGGCTTCCGGGGGCCTTATTTTTATATTGGTACATTGCTCGTTCATGCAGTTTCCTTTGCAAAGCCGTGTCTGTGTTGATATTCTGGGTCCTTTTCATTCTCTCTTCGATTTTCTGTTGAGTAGATGTACCCGGTTGGGGTAATATAGCCTGTGGCCACGGAAGGCGTCCCTGCGCCAGTTGGGACGAGTACGAATGTTAGAGGACTGGGTAGCAGATTTGAAACGGTTTGTTTGTGAAACCAAATACAGCGACCACCAACGTACAGCAACCAGCAACTACAGGCAGTATCAACAGTTGATATGCAGAGCAATCCAGGCAAGACACATCAGCACGGGCGCGAGATCGATGATTCTCTCTCTCTCTCTCTCTCTCTCTCTCTCGCTCTCTTTTTCTCTCTCTCTTTTCGATGGCACCCCCCTCCTAATGTTCCAGGTGTTCATCAACGATCTGTTGGAAGTCGTAGAGGCAGTCCGGAAGGCAGTGAAAGTAGCGGACACGGAAACTTCGGTGTTGGGAATGCTGTTTGCGGATGATTTTGTTGGTATGTCGGACACCCCTCAGGGACTGCAACTGCAAATTGACGCGGCCCAGAAGTTTACTGACAAGTGGAGGTTGTCTGCCAACGTTAAGAAGAGTGCCGTCATGGTATGCAACGAGGACAGGGAGGAACCAGTAGAACATAGATGGAAGTGCGGATCGAGGAGATTGCAGAA